TGGAAGGGCTCCTAGGACGGTTCCTCCTCTTTGTGGTTGCAGAGATGAGCAGGGGCCCAGCCTGGCCATTCAGAGCCCTGGCACCTCTGGGCCTGGCCGTTCAGAGCCCCGGCACCTCTGGGCCTGGCCGTTCAGAGCCCCGGCACCTCTGGGCCTGGCGGTTCACATCCCCGGCACCTCTGGGCCTGGCGGTTCACATCCCCGGCACCTCTGGGCCTGGCGGTTCACAGCCCCGGCACCTCTGGGCCTGGCGGTTCAGAGCCCCGGCACCTCTGGGCCTCGCGGTTCAGAGCCCCGGCACCTCTGGGCCTGGCGGTTCAGAGCCCCGGCACCTCTGGGCCAAGCGGTTCAGAGCCCCGGCGGCACCTCTGGGCCGGGCAGTTCGTAGCCCCAGCACCTCTGGGCCTGGCAGTTCAGAGCCTGGCACCCCTGGACTTGCTGCATCAGTTATGAATGTAAAAATATTGTTTGAGTCCCAGCACCTCTTTCAGTACATATTAAGCCCTGACGACAGGGTATGGCTCACTTGACAATGGCCCTGTTCTGTTCGTTCCCTCCTGGGCACCTGGCACTGGCTACTGTCGGCAGACGGGATCCTGGGCTGGAGGGACCGTTGCTCTGACTCGGGATGGCCGTTTTTATGTTCTTTCCCCTATACAATTTTACAAGAGAGGAAACTTACTCACGGGCTCAATGTAAGTAATGAAGGCTTTGAAAATAGGACATAATTAAACATGATACAATCCCAGATGGTGCTTATTTGGTTTTGAGAATGCATTACACTTTTTCCTTGCCTCTTCATTAAAATGTTGTTGTTTTTTAAATTTGGCTTTCCTTTTTCTGATTCTGCTTTTCTGTTGCCTCCTCCAGAATCTGCTTTGAATTAATGAAATTCAACTCCAACGATCTGGGGATGAATATTATATAATTTCCCATGTTATTTTATTCATTTATGTGCTGATTTTGATTGGGAGGACTGGGCTGCATTAGGGTAGCAGGGGGGAAAATAGCCATGTAGGCAAGGCTGTGGCAGGGGACTAAGGTGATCTGGGGTCATTTCACAGGACTTCTCAACTCCCCGTGTGACCTAGGGCAAGGAAGGCAGGGCTAGGCTTCTCGCCATTTAGGGAGCTAAATGAAGAGCGAGATGTTGAGCATTGGGACCTGCTCGGTGGAGAGCACTTTTGAAAAGATGCTCTCCAGCTCAGTGACTGGGCAGGAGTCCCTGGGTGACGTCTCTGGCTGGCCTGTGTCACACAGGAGATGAGGCTGGATGATCCGGGTCCCTTTGGGCCTTGACATCCATGAATCTCTCTGGGTCAGTCTCTGGATGGGTAGAATAGGGAGGAAACAACGCCCTGCCCCACAGGGATGGGCTCTTCAGTGTTTCTGAAGTGCCCAGATATTGGGAGGGCCACTTTCAAGGCCCTTCCCAGTCAACCCCCACCCTCCTTCTCCGCGCTCCACCACTCTCGAGCCGTCGGTGCCCACCTCCGGCCGGGCCATGACGCAGCCTCCACTGCCCATTTGTTACATTTTCAAACAAGCGCCTTTGTGGTTTCTCCCCTGCTGCCCTGCGTGCTTGGGAGGCGCTCGCCATAAATGTCTGCAAAGCCGCCCCATTGGCCTCCTTCCAGCCTCTCCTCTGAGCTCTCCTTTGCCGCGGTGACAGCCGCTGCGCGTCCCCCACATTGTGTCCTGGTGCTCCCCTGTCTGACTGCATGCAGCCGGGGCCTCTTGTCTTGTGCAGAGGGTCTGTCCACACTGCAGTCGGAGGAGTGACTGCTGTATGTGTAGACACCCCTGGGCTCACTTTGAACTAGCTACATCAAAGGTAGTTCAAGTACAGTAACAGGGAAGCTATGACAGGACAGACAGCTGCACGGGCTAGCCCCAGCCGCCAGGATGGTCGCTCAGGTGTGTCTACATATGCTGCAGTCACACCTCCTGACTGTAGTGTAGACGTACCCTTAGACCAGTGGTTCCCAACCATATGCAGCCCACAATGTGTTACCTGGACTGCAGGTTGAGAATCACAGCACCCCCCATCCGGCTATGCCTAGCGCCCACACCCCGGGGACCCCACCACAGAGTGGGGCCAGAAGTGGAGTCCCGGTGGCAGGGCCAGGTGGCAGGGACTCCGGACCCCATCATGCAGGGCCAGGTGGCAGTCCCAACCCCGACCCCAGACCTTGCTGTGCAGGGCCAGGCGGCAGTCCCGACCCCGACCCCAGACCCCATTGTGTGGGGGCTGGGGGCAGTCCCAACCCCGGACCCTGTAATGTAGGGGCCAGGCGGCAGCCCTGACCCGACCCCGCCGCCAACCCTCCCTGATCCCGACCCCGCTGAGTGGGGCCGGGCAGCAACCCCGGCCCTGGAGCCCACCAGCCTTTAGCACGCAGCTGGGCCACAGCTGTGTGCTAACCGGGCTGCATGCAGCCCGCGGGCTGTGGGCTGAGAATATTGCCTTAGACGCTAAGCTTCTCGGGGCAGAGGCACCTTTTTGTTCTGGGTTTGTACCGCACCTCGCACAAGGCGGTTCTGGCCCGTGACCAGGTCTCCTAGGTGCTCTGGGAATACAATTCTAAAGCATAGAACTAATAACTGATAGATTCTGGACTCACTAAAGCGAAGGCAGCACTCCATTGGGTATGGGAACAAGCTCTTGGGGCAAAACCCATCCTCAAGCCCTCCCCGCAGGCCATGTCAGCTCTGTGATTTGTGACTGGCCCCCAGCTTCCCCTGGCGTTTTGGCAGGATTCTCTCTCCTTGGCACCCTCAGACGCACCCAGGAGCGGGCTTGGGGGCCAGGTTTCTGTCTCCCACCTGGGCAAAGCCACAGTATCTCCGCTGATTGGCATAGGCGCAGGCTGGATTTACACCCACATAGCAGCACAGGGAGAGGCCCAGGGTGTTTTGTCCCTAGGATTAAGCCACCTGTATGTCTGTCCGTCTCGGGAATTACAGGCTCTTTGCTGCTGTCTGCTCTTCCTCCCACCTTGCTAGTTTTTTGCTGCACCATTTCCCCCTTTTCCAGAACCAAGCTGAGGGCCTGGTCAAGAGCTCATTGAAATCCACTGGCCTCTTTCCACTGAGGTCAAAGGCCATTGGATCACGGTCTCAGGGCCCAACTGATTTAACCAGGAACTGGATCAGCCCCAAGGGCCAGGCCGGTCAAAGTATTTTGGCGCCTCAAGCTGCAGAGAGGCACCTAGTGTGATTTTAAAAAGTGCCGAACTCCCCTGGATTTCAGGGGCACCCGTCTGCATCTTAGGCGCCTAAATACCTTGTCAAATCTGGCCCAAAGCTGCCAAGACCACACTAAATCTTCACGGTCGCGCTGTCAGTTTCATCTCCCTCATGTACTTGCACTGGCCTTATTACCATAGCATTCAAATACCTTTAAAGGAATCAACCCTCCAGGGGTAGGGCAGGGCCCCACTCTACAGATGGGCAAAGGAGGCACAGACAGACTAAGAGACTTGCCCAAGGCCATAGAGAAAGTCTGTGGCAGAGCAGGGCATTGACCCAGGCTTCCGGAGACCAAATCTAGTGTCCCAACTTTTGCACCTTGCTTTTTCTGTCTTATGCGAAGGAGCTTGCCCTGCTGCAGTCCACGCACATGGCGTATGTGCCCCGTGAGTTCCGCAAAGGCAGTGTACCTCTCATGGCCGCAGAGGGACGGATGGGTCTCCGCTCAGTGAACGTCACCCAAGGTAATAGGAGTCAGTATGTTTTCTCTGGAATATGGGGACCTGGAGGAGAAGTGCACTTTAAAAGCCATTTAAACGATAGATCTGGGACATACGCTCGTCTGTGATTGTCCCTTACACGCTTACAACCTATATGCCTGCAAAATGAGGGATTGGTTGCCCAAACGGTCACAGGGTGCTGTTTGCTCATGTGTTTACCCCAGCTGTGGGGGCATCCTGGTAATTCCGCGCCAAGCTGGTTAAAGATTGGGTTACAAACAGGCCCCGAACAGGAGCTCACGGTCAGGCACCTAGGGGCTAATGAGAATTACTGCTACAAGCCGGGGGTGGAGGAGGGGAGAGACTTGGGCGTGTGGGTCAATCACAGGATGACCATGAGCCATCAGAGTGAGGTGGGCGTGAAGGGGGCAAATGCGATCCTAGGATGTGCAAGGTGGGGCATTTCCAGTCGAGATGGAGAAGTATTGACCCCATGGTACAAGG